TCCAGTTCCCCCCCGCGCCCCCCCAACATGTGAGCTCTCGAGCGGTCTCTTCTCCCTACAGCTTCCTTGAGTGAAGGAGCCTCAGGACAGCAGCTGCGCCCCTGCACTCTCACCTCCAGTGCCCTGGGTCCGTCCACTCCTCCATGTCCTGTAGCACCTTCCTGTCTTTGGGCCAAAGACTGTCCCCTTGGCGTGTCGGGCTGATCATTTTCTGCAAGCTCAAACCCTACCTGTTTTCCTTTCATTCTTTCCCCCAAATACCTGTCCCATCCCCCTACAGACCTCATACTGGTCTGATCCCTGAGGAGCCAGTAGTAAGGAAGTCAGGCTGAGTGCCTACCCTCTTGTGGCTGACAGACAGGTAGGAACAGAGAGCAGAGCTGTTGGGGAGTTAGTGGAAGAGGCTGTTTCAGATGGCCGTGGGGTGGGGTGAGATGGCACCAGGCTGAGAGACCTCATGGGGGCCAAGGCGCAGGCAGAGGCAGGTGTGGCCAGGGGGCCGAGCACAGGGAGGTGGGAGGGGCGCATTGGCATGTGGGTGGGTAGACTGAAGTGCGGAGCTTGACCCTCACTTTGAGGAAGGTGAGACCTTCGAGCAGAGGAGTGAAAGGACCCCACGCTCACCAGGACCCTGCTGCCCTCTATCCTCCCCCCTTTAGGGCATTCAGTGTGTGTTCTGCCCTCTTTCAGAGTAGGTCCATGCAGACGCCTCAGGGGCCTTGTGTATCCCAGGAAGATGGGTGCCGTTTTGTGGCGAGCGTGTTCCTCCTGTTGCCAGAGGTGTTGCTGAGCCAGAGGCACTGTGCCAGTGGTATCGGTGACAGGGTGTGAGAGGGTGTTGCTGTGAGAGTTACCCCTGGTGGTGGCTCTGTGTCAAGCTCATAACACGTGACAAGACAGATTTGTGAAGTGACGTGTCTACCCTGTGGGGGTAGGGGAAGAGCCCAGGTCTCTGAGGCCTTCTGCCCTGGACCAGACAGCAAGCCCGGGTCATGTCTGGAGCCTTGGGTGAGCTCTAGAACCTGTCTGAGCTTTACATGGGATGTTACATGTTACATGGGATGAGGAGTTACAGCTCTGTGCTCAGCTCAGGTGGCATCAAGTCGCAACTTTGTCACAACACAAAGCTGTGGGCTAGGCTCTGGTACCCGTGCAGTGTGCGGGTTAGCTCCCCCTGCCCCCACCTCACCCCACTGGCCCGGTCCCTCTCAGCTCCCATCTGGGGCCTCAGATGTGGAAGTCCAGCTGGACGCTGTGCCTTAGCTATTGACCGGCACTTTCTCCAGCGGGTCTGGGAGACGCCTGGGGAGCCATGCTTCCCGCTAGTATGCACCGGCCAAGTCTGCAGGAGGCTCATTGCCAGTCCTGGCTGGGTTTGGTGGGCCAGTGCTTCTTGAACTCTCCTCAAGTGCCAGGTTTTCAGGTCTCTCAGAGCCCTGGGTCTCCCCCTGTCTCCTCCCTCCCTGGTCCTCTGCGCTCTGCCTGCCTGACTGTCTGGCGGGAGTGCAGTCTTGGTGCTGATGGCCTTGGAGAAGCTGCAGAGTGGTGGCAGAAACAGAAGCCCAGAAGGGTGTACCTTCCTGTCCCACATCCTTGGGGCCTGGACCAAGGTCCCCACCCAAGCCTCCACTTCCCATGGCCTCAGAACTGTGCTCTCATGTGTCCCCAGCCAGAAGAAAATCTTCGTTGGGTTTTATTTTCTTGGTATTCTTCAGAAAATTATGGCCACTGTGAAGATGCTTCCTTAAGCCTTGTTCCCCCATCAACCCCCCCCCCCCCGCTGAAACTGCTGTTACTTAAAGGAGTTACCTGGATACTTTCCACAAGTCCCCAGGGAGCCCCAGAAGAGGCTTTGGGGTCATAGCTCTGGAACAGCGTCTCTCAGGACTCCTGCACGGGCACTGGGCGGGGGTGGGGGGGATGTTGGACTAGGACCTGAGAAGAAGGGGAGAGCAAGCCTGGGCTCTGGCCCGTGGGTGGGCCCAGGGCCCAAGTCCTCCCCTGCCTCCTGTCTCCCCACTGGCCACCCTGCATGTCAGGGCTTTTGCCTCTGTGAGTCCTTCAGTCCCACGAGAGCCTTGTGCAAAACAGCTCAGGTGTCATCTCCTTCGGAAGCCTCCCTGACCTACTTGGGTTGGACCTGACGTGGGTCTCCTTTGCATGCTTGGGTGGGCTCACCTGTTGTATTCAAAGTTCAGTGAGGGGTCTCCTGTCCGTGCCCCATCCTGTGAGGGTACATCTATGGCTGATGAGACTGATAGTCAACAGCTGCCTAAGCCAAGCCTCTCATCTCCCCTGGGAGAGACCTTGAACCAAGGAGCAATGAGGCTGAGTGGTCATGGCCAAGTACCAATGTAGGTCATGAGCCTCCTGGGCTCCCTGAGCTGCCTGAGCTTTTACTTTCTCTCTGGATTCCCAGGGTCCTGAGGGGCTTGCTTGAGCTAATCTGAGCTGGATTTTATTCCCTGTAATGAAGTGTGCCTGCCCTGTCCTGTGTCCTCGCTCTGCGCTGTTTCTCCAAGGCCTGCTCTGGGGCAGGGGTGCGACCCTGGGGCCAGGGCTTGTTGGTGGACTGGTCTCGGAGGTGGGGGCTCTGAGCTGGACTGGGGGGCACTGTAGAGGCACTGAAATGCCAACTGCAAGCTGGTCCTCCTGGTGTATTGGAGCTCAAAAGTTAAAGGCTGGGGCTGCGCAGTTCACTCTGATTTCTGAGTGTGGAGCAGAGTGGCCCTGCGCCCCTAATGGGGGGTCTGGTCAAGGGTTGAGGACTTTTGCTGCCCAGGTAGCCTCTCTCCTCTGCTCAATTCCACCTCCTCCGGGGGACGGGGGGGCGAGCGGTACGCGCAGAGAAGGGGTGCCTCAGCAAGCAGGAAGCCCCATCGCTCAGTGTGAATGGCTGCAGCATCGGGTTCCTGAGGCCCTGGACAGGACTGTGAGTCCTGGAGGAAAAAATGTCTCAGCAAACGGCGGCTGCTGCTCCCTGACAGCCGCTGAACCGCAGTGAGAGGGGTCCCCACATGGCCCTCGGTGTGACTGCTGCTTGGGGACTCCCCTCTGGGGGCAGGATCTGAGCAAGAGGGCAAGCCACCCATGTGCCAGGCCAGAGGGGCCAGCTGTGCTGAGGGCTGTGGATGGCACATGCCCTCATGTCTACGTGGGGCTGTCCCTGTCCCCCTGGTGCATTAGGATGTCCATGTCCCTGTGGACTGGGCCACACCTCGAGCCTGCTTAGTTAGACTGGATCGGGCTACGGCACTGCTGGGCAAGGGCAGACTTGCCTTATGGGGCCTCAGCCTGCAGCCACTTAGTCAGGCCGTGTCCCTGCAGAAATCGGCCTTGGAGTCAGTGCCAGGCTTAATCATCCAGGCTGCCCCTAGGACAGTGATTTTCAACCTTTTTCATCTTATGGCACACATAAACTAATTACTAAAATCCTGCAGCACACCAAAATGTATTTTTGCCAATCTGACAAAAAAAAAAAAAAAAGGTATAATGATTCATTCACACCAGACAGCTATTGTTGTGTTGACTGTTGTCATTTTTTAAAAATTTGACAGTCTGAGGGGAAAAGATATCAGTGACCCTGACTAAATAGTCAGGTATTGCATGTTTTAAAAATGCTCGTGGCTCACCAGTAGAAAATCGCCGCCCTAGGAGATGACGCTCTCCCTTGAGCTTCCATCGAACAGCCCTGTCTTCCGGGAGTGTGTCATCCAGGAGATGTGTGCTGGAAACCTCACCTGTCCCCACCCCAGAGAGTCCGCTGCAGGGCTCTGTCCTGTGCTGGGGGTGGGGCAGCCCTCAGTCCCACAGCAGCCTCTGGGGCGTGTCCCTCTGTGCAGAGGTGGGAGCAGAGACTCAGGAGCACACCAGTGGGGGGCTCTCAGCCAGCAAGCCAGGGAGCTGGGTTTGCACTTTTGCCTGAAGTTCTGACAAAAGCGACTATTTCATAAATTCCTCCTGACCAGTACTGAACAGAGCGGGAGCAGATGGGACAGGTTCACAGGCTGAGAAGTGGGAGGGTGCTCACCATAGTTGGGACATGAGGTGATGAAGACCTGGCCCCAGGGGTGCAAAGGCAAGGAAGGGACCTAGCGGGGGTTGGGAGGGTGGGAGCAGGACTGATAGGCTGGGAATGGGGGAGGGTCTATGGAAAAAACAAGTGGCTGGCATTGTGTAGTCCTGGGTTCCAGCCCTAGCTCTGTCCCTGCAGGCCTCTCCCCTGTAGGACAGCACTGTTCTGAGGTGGGGTGAAATGGTACATGCAGGGGGCTTAGCCCTGCTTCTGGCCATGGGAGTCACAGTGGTAAAGACATGGGAGGGGAAGGTGGCTGGCCAGAGGGCTGGTGGGGAAGGGCTGCTCTCTGGGTTAGGGAGAAGGCCCCAGAGAAGGCCAAAGCAGTCAGACCCAGGCCCAGCCTCACTCTGCCGCCTGAGTCCCACCTAGGCCTGCAGGCTCCTGTTCTTACCCTGCAATCCACCAAGAGGCACCATTGCCCAGAGAGCACTTGGACACAACCCCCACCCCTGCAAGCATGCAGGCCCCTGGCATCCTGCAGAGCCCCAGTGAGCCTGGGCCTGAACCTAAGGTGGCTGTGTTGCTGGCCATGATAAGGAGCACTGCCGATGTGCTGACAAGTGGACAAGGACTGACCATTTGGGTTCGTGGAGGTCTCCCTACAGAAAGTGGGGCTCTAGATCTAAGCAGCAGCTTGACAAGGTTGGCGAGGTTGAGGGGTCCCTAGCTGTGCCCTTTCTGAGGCCATGCTCTCCTGATTCAGCTGTGCTAGACAAGAAATCAGTTCCAGAAACACGCCCCGCAGCCAGATGATCAAAGTCAGCAGCCGGAGCTGCCTGGAGCTGCAGGATCAATGTCGGCAGGGGCTGCCACTCATCACCGCTTTGCCAGTGCAGCCAGGAAGGAGGGGACTGCCTCCCTTCCCCGTGGGCGCCGTAAGCTGCCCACACACTCACTTCCAACCTACTTCTTGTTTCCCCAGAACCTCCAGTGGGCCCGCGACGTGTTGCTAGGCAGCAGTATCCCGTGGCAACAACTGCAGCACATGCCGGCACAGGGGCTCTTCTGCGAGAGGAACAAGACCAATTTCTTCAACGTGAGTACTTTGCCTTGTTGATTTCCAAGGCTGCTGGCTGCCACCGCTTTTCACTGAAGGAAGGCGTGCGAGTGGACCCCTGGGTGGGCGTTCCCAGGACCATGGGTTTGCAGCATCCTCAGAGGGCAGGCAGGGTGGTGCAGTCGAGAGTGCGCCAGGCTCGGGAGTGGGTCTGTGCTTGCTGAGGGACTTCTGGCGTGCTACTGCCTGCTCCGGGCACCGGTTTGCCCATCTTTGGGGAGAAGCATGGGCAAGCTCGGTGCGTACTCTGGGGCCCCGGGTATTCTGGGGCCACGGCAGGCAATGGTGAGAGGGGCTCTGTGCTAATGGCCCTGCTTCCTATAGAGCAGCTCTGTGTGCCCCTGTGTGGTCCGGGGCAGCTGGAAATTCTGACTGAAGCTGGGTCTACTGCTTGAAAACAAGTTTGGCCACTTGCTGGGCTTTCAGTGCCCTTCCAGCCCTCACATTCCATGTAGAGTGGAGACCCACCTCTCAGGCAGGACATGGCCCAGCACCAAGGCCTACTGGCCTCCCATCCCCGAGTCCCCCTAGGACCTGCATGTACCCCTTCCTCATTCACTCTGTCCTGCATAGAGACAAATGTTCCTTCATTCTGCTTTACTTCTGAGTCCACTCTGTCTTTCACCATCTCTCTTTGACAAGTCACACGCACCCTCTGAGTTTTGGTTTCTTCTGTGTTTTCCTGATTCCTTGTTACATGTAGAGAAGGAGGACAGGTCTCTGGTCTAGAGGGGTGTGACAGAGACTGGTTCTGGAAGCATATGGGCAGGTGAGGTCCCCACTGAAAGCTGCTGGATGGTGTGGTTCTGGGTCCATGGCTCTTCTCTCTTGGACTGTGAGCTTTTGGGGGCCAGGTGGGGGCTCTGGAGCTGGGAGCCCCACATCTGCCAGCCGTCTCTCTATTTTATAGGCAAGTAGTAGATGTAATCTCTAATTTACCTCCATGGGACCAAGGAGTTTGCAGTGAAAGAGAAACTTCCTCCCATCCAGATGGCTAGGCCCCAGCCACTGCCCCATAGCAACCTCTGTTCCTTCTGCATGTGATCTGTCCTTTCAGAGGGTGTCTACCCATTTATAAGCCAGTGCACAGAGGTATACACAAAGGACAAAGGACACATGCTTCTGCCCCTTGTTTTGTTTTGTTTTCTTTTCATTTAATAGTATGTGTTGCAAAGTGTTTTAGAACTTGCTTGTTCTTTTTAATAGCTGCATAGTACTCCCAACATATGGATGTCCCACGGTTTACCTACCCATTCTCTATTGTGGGAATTTATAGTTTCTAGTCTTTTTAGTACAGTGTTTCATATATACATCTTTGCATATACATGACAGTCTATTTATAGGATAATTTGCTAGAAATAGTTACTGGGCCAAAGGGTTGTGGCGCCCTTAGAGATTTAGTTAACACTAAAGACCCAGCCCACACTCCTAACCTTCAGTAACACTCTGTGCTTTTGAACTGTCCATTTGTTCTTCGGTAGGTGAAAAATGCTATTGTTTTTCATTCATTATCAGTGGGATTAACTGTGACATCATGTTAGTGGTTTTAATTTCTTCTGTTCAATTTCTACTCATGTTCATTTTCCTATTTGGATTATTGGTCCTTATTGATTTATAAGAACTCTTTATGTAGTAATGAAATGGGCCCTCTGTCAATGTTTTGCAGACTTCTTTTTTTTTTTGCAGTTGCTAAACCAAAGTTAGAGCCAGAAAAGTAGCTCAGTTTCCCTGAGCTCCTGGTTTACTCCCCTTTAAAATGGGCTCCCATTACCTGCCTTGAAGAGTAATCGTAGGGATCAAATTAGACAATGGGACAATATCTCTAACTTGGGATCTGGCACATGGCAGGTATTCAAGAAAACACTTTCCCTCCCTCTCCCCTTCCCCGCTGTTGGTGCTTTCCCCTTAAAGACCGTGCAGTGAGCCCCAGCCGGCGTGGCTCACTTGGTTGGGTGTCGTCTTGCAAACCCAAAGGGGGCACCCGCCTGGGTTACATGTTCACAGCCCCCATTTGGGGCACGTATAGAAGACAGCCAATCGAGGTTTCACATCGATGTTTCTCTCCGTCTCTTTCGCCCTCCCTTCCCCTCTAAAATCAAAAATTAAAATTAAAAAATTAAATTAAAAAAACAAACAAACCGTGCAGTCATGTTGGAAGGAGAGACCCAACACTTCTTTTCTTTCTCACAGGTGAAGAACTCAGCCTTCCTAATGGTGGGGTTTAGGAGGCCAGCACCTCAGATACCTGCTCCCCCGAGCACATTTGAGCTGGTGGCTGGGTTCTCTAGGTCCCTTCCCCATTGGGCTCACGCCTGTGGTTCCCAGGGCCTTTCAAGAAATGAGTCCTGCAGAAAGACAATCAGACTATGCCAGTGGGAGGGAAGGCCAGCAGAGGGTCGGGTGGGCCTGGCACGTGGGCATCATTTCCCCCGCAGCCAGAAGCCCCTACAGGTACCGGCCATGCAGCCTGTACTGATGTTTTGTGTGTTTTGCCTTCTCTGGGTTAGCTGTTTGTGCCTCTGTACTGCCCTGGGGCCCGCTGCTTTTATCGCCCTTGGGCCCTCTCCCAGCCTGAGTCCTGGACACTCTGCTTTCTTAGCGCTTCTCTTTGGAGGTGGGTTGGGGCTCCTTGTGCCCCTTGAGCCTGAAAGGTTAACCTCTGGATAAAGGCCGGACACTCGCGCCTTCATTTACGAAGCGCCTGAGAGACAAGCACTCCCAGCTGGTTCATGGCACGATGATGGCCCTTGCCAAACCCCTCCCACCCTGTCCTTGCTGCTGCTGCAGGGGGACCTCCAGGGTAGACACCTCTAGCCAGACCTCACACCCAGCACATCAGAGTGTGACGCTGCTTATGAGTTTATCCAGCAGATTTCCCCAAGTGTGAGGAAGCGGTTTGCTCCCACGCTTATGGAAGGGTGTTCAGGGCAGCCACTGGCTGGCTGCTGCGATGGGGTCGTGTCTCTGACAGCTGGGGCTGCAGAGCGGGGGGAGCAGGCCTGTTCTCCCTTCTCATGCGCACTGGGGTTCACTGCCTGCAGTGGGGGCAAAGGCACAGGCAGGGGCAGCCCTTGTGAGGAGATGGAGAATGGGTGAGGGCGGGGTCATCGGGTGCCCTGACCTGCCATACCCACCATCCTGGGCCACCCACGCCGCCCGGCCTGGGTGTCACTCACCTAATGTGCTGTCTGGGTGCCCCCTCCATCCTCAGGGATCAGGCCGGGGGATCCTCCTATTATTTTTCAATGACACAGTTCAGACACACAGCAAAGCCGAGTCCCCCAGGTCTGCCCCTCCCCAGGTGCTGTGCCCTGCTCAGAGGGACCTCCAGGAGTGGCTGGGCTCTCCTTTTTTTTCAGATGTGTGTGTACATAATCAGACAAGTTCGTCATGCAGCTTTGAAAAATACGTGCGTGTGTGTGTATGTGTGGGAAGGGATGCTTTCTGGCAACTTGTTTTTCTCACTGACACTAAGTCTTAGAGAGCTTCCCTGTGAGAAGTGCAGGTCGTCTCACTCTTTGCAGTTGCCACCAGTAACACGTCGTGCACTAGCCACAGCCTCCGTGGGTGGGCCAGTCTTTGTGCTCACAAGCAGGGTGCAGCGGGCCTCCCTATACAAGTGCCTTTGTGCTATTCCTGGGTTCCTCTTAGAGTCCCTGGCTTGTCCCAGCCTGGTTCAGAGGGGGTTCTCACTGAGCATTTGTGGATTGTTTCCATTCATGTCTTCTCCCTTAACAGATGGTCTGCAAGCATGTTTTTCCGATCTAGTCAGTGCTGGCTGATGTAGGGCCCCTTCCATAGGACACTTGACGGCTTGCAGTAGAGCCCCGCATGCACGTCCCTTCATGCAGGGCCACTGTAGGGTGGTGCGGGGACATGGGGGAACCCTTGAGGAGTCTTGGTGGCCTGGAGGCAGGGCTTCTACTGGTAGGGTGGGTGCTGCTTGGCGAGGAGGAGGCAAGAGGAGCCCAGGGTTAGAGGCACCCTCAGAGGAGCTCCTCAAGGCTGGACCGTGCCTGAGTCCGTGCTGGCTGAGCCTTCGTGGGGAGTGCGAAGGGCGGGTGCTGAAGGGCAGGTGAGTGTAACATGGGGCTTTGGTCAGCTTTCTTGGCGGGAGCTCCTTTCACACAGGGCCCCACAGCAGCGGATACGGGGCACGTAGCAGGTCCCAGCAGTGTGGCCGGATGCGCATTTGAGAGAGAGAGGAATGAACTTGGTGCATTGCCAGTCTCACTGTTCCCAACTTGACTAAGAGGGAACAGCTCCCAGCCCCCTCTTTCCTCTGCCATGGAAAATCGCTGCTTGTGGGCCGTCGGCCGAGCAGGTTGGAGCTCTGGGCCAGGACTCACGCTCCAGAGCAGGGCAGAGCCTCGTCTGAAGGCCCCAGCACCCCAGCCCTCTCCAAGCAGGCTGAATAGACTGGTCTTTGCCAAAACAGAGCCAGAGTTGTCGGATATTGTTGCCTGAGGTCCTGTGGCCCTCCCTGCCTGGGCAGGGCCTGGCCTAGACCCTGGTGCCTGTCCTTCAACAGTTCACAACATTGGGGCCAGAAGGGAGCATGGGGACAGGGAAGGGCTTTCCTCCCCCTGGAGGGCTTTAGGAGGCTTTCTGAGACAGTGTCACCCCTGAGGGGGAGTCAGGGGGCTCTCCCTCCCTGGGCAGAGGGGGCTTATCTCTGAGTGCCCAGAAGCTTCCATGGCTTCCTAGTGCAGGTATGCACACCTCTGGGCAGGTGGGCCCGTGGCGCTGGGCTGCTCTGGCCAGGGTGAACTTTTCTCCTTCTTGTAGTTGATGCAGAAATGTTCCCATAGTAACCAATCTAGAGACAGCTCTTCCTCCTTCCCCAAAATGTTTGCTTATTTTAGCAAGCAGAGTTTTTTCTTGTTTCAACCTAGTTTCCAGCCACCGTGAAAGAAGCAAAGGGAGCTGAGGCCAGCTAGCATTGCTTCCTGTTTCTGAGGCTGTGCAGGCTGGCAGCG